TCTTGCCATTTTTCCTCTCGTCCTCTTCCAAGCTTTAGCTTTCCTGAATTTTGACCTAATGACACCCAGAGAAAACAGAGTAAGGAGAGCATTGTTCGGTAACCAGAGAGGATGAGCCGGGGCATGGCAGGGTGAATCTGCTAAACCTCCAGGGGAAATGTCTCCCATGCCTGTGTGCCCCAGGCCTAGGTGTGTGACCCGGGACCAGCCTGCCTCCTGCCCCCCCAACATCACAGGTGTTCCCCCACTTCCCCCCGCGGGCCCAGGGCACCCGGACTGTAGGAGGTCTCGTCCACTCACCGAGTGCCCAGCCCTGCCCTCCCCTGCCCCAGGTCCCCTCCAGCTAGAGTTGGGGTAAAGGTGGAGGGAACAGAAGAGAGATCAAAAGTTTCTTGGTCTGACACAGATGGAAGAGGAAGGCAGGAAGTGGACACCCTGTCCCCCCATCCCTAGTAAGCAAGGGGCCCTTCTTTTCTCCTTGAACGGAGGCGCTGGTGGAGGGCGCTTTTGCAGAAGAGGGAAGGTGAGGCCGGGACCTGGAGGGGGACAGCGGGCCCTTGGGGAAGGTAGGGCCCTTGACGCAGTTAGGTTCGCCCCCCTCTTCCTTTTCCACGAAGGACTGGGGATGAAGAGAGGCGATTCTGACTGATCTGTTATTTTTAGATAATCGCACCAACAGTATGTGCAGGCCCCTTAGGCCACGAACCTTGCCTCAGCTCGAGGAAAACCATCAGGGATGCTAAGGCCAACATTTATTTATCTCTTAGAACTGACCTCACTGACCTTGGGTCTGGGTGCAGTGTTGGTTCTTATCTGGGGACTTACAGCCCCTGGGTGAAGAGGGACCTTCCATGTTGTCATGTGTTTTATCTTTCATCGGACTGTAGCTTTCAGAGAAAACAAGTGTTGCAATTCAGCCGGCGTACACTGCCTGTCGGACACCCCCACGCAGACCCCGTGCCAATCTCTGAGAAGGGCCCATCTCCAACTCCAGGTGGCTGTGAGGTTCTTGTGCACACACACACACACACACACACACACACACACATACAACCCTCTCCTAAGGACCTCATCTCCAGAGCTCTCAAAGCAGGGCCTTTCTTTCTTTTTCTTTCTTTGTCTCTCTCTCTCTCTCTCTCTCTCTCTCTCTCTTTCTTTCTTTCTTTCTTCTTTCTCTGTTTCTTTTTTGGAGCTGAGCCCCCTGTGTTCTGGTCTGCCAGCTCTTTCCTAGAGATCTGCCAGTTCCCTGTCTTGTGTGGGTGGGGCCAAATCTCCTAGGAGACAAGAGGGCCTTAAGAAAGGAATGTCCTGGGGGGCTGGCAGGTGGTATAGTGGTTTGGGGCACTGGATTCCCGCATGGCTGATCGTGGTTCAAATCCCAGATCTGGTGGTTTGCTTTCTCACTTTCTCTCTCTCTCTGTCTCACTCTGTCCCTCTCTAATCAAATTGAAATAAATAAAATAATTCTTTTTTAAAAAAAGTTAAACCTTGCAATATATAGATTTAAAAAAAAAAAGAAAGAAAGAAAGGAACGTCCTGGGACCAGCAGTTAGTGTAATGGCTATGTCGCTGGACTCCCATGTAGTTAACCATGGTTCGAGTCCTAAACCCGGTGGCTTAATCTCATGCCGGGCACGTGTGCATGCGTGTCCAAGATCCCGAGAAGAGAATGGAGGAGAAGGGATTGCAGCATGGCCATCCCCCCTGGGGGGTGATTTCTCACTTTCTGTATCTGTAGCAAAAGAAAAGAAAAGAAAGAAAGAAGGAAAAAGAAAAAACCAGACTGCTGGGGCATTTGGACCATGGCAGCCCCCATCAGCCTTCTTGCCATCTTTCCTCTCGGCCTCTTCCAAGCTGTAGCTGTCCTGAATTTTGACCTAATGACACCCAGAGAAAACAGAGTAAGGAGAGCATTGTTCGGTAACCAGAGAGGATGAGCCGGGGCATGGCAGGGTGAATCTGCTAAACCTCCAGGGGAAATGTCTCCCATGCCTGTGTGCCCCAGGCCTAGGTGTGTGACCCGGGACCAGCCTGCCTCCTGCCCCCCCAACATCACAGGTGTTCCCCCACTTCCCCCCGCGGGCCCAGGGCACCCGGACTGTAGGAGGTCTCGTCCACTCACCGAGTGCCCAGCCCTGCCCTCCCCTGCCCCAGGTCCCCTCCAGCTAGAGTTGGGGTAAAGGTGGAGGGAACAGAAGAGAGATCAAAAGTTTCTTGGTCTGACACAGATGGAAGAGGAAGGCAGGAAGTGGACACCCTGTCCCCCCATCCCTAGTAAGCAAGGGGCCCTCCTTTTCTCCTTGAACGGAGGCGCTGGTGGAGGGCGCTTTTGCAGAAGAGGGAAGGTGAGGCCGGGACCTGGAGGGGGACAGCGGGCCCTTGGGGAAGGTAGGGCCCTTGGCGCAGTTAGGTTCGCCCCCCTCTTCCTTTTCCACGAAGGACTGGGGATGAAGAGAGGCGATGAAGAGGTGCAGAGCCTTGACAGAGACTAGGGGCGGTCCTGACCGAGGTCGCCCCGCCCCGCCCCGCCCCGCCTCTCCCGCGCCGCCTCCTGCGAGCTGGACGCCGGCAGCCACTGCGGGCGGGCCACGC